GAGGTCGCGGGTTCAGCAAACCACACAGACCCCCAGGTCAGCGATCCCCAGCGCCTGTGTCACCTAAAAGCTTTCTCAGGTTGGAAGAAGACTCTGGCAGGAGGCCCAGGCCACGTCCTCTCTGGCATCTGGCCTAAAGCCAGGCAGGGCTCCCGAGCAGGGCGCCAGCCCACTCCCGGTTTCTGGGCCCAAGCTCTGCAGCCTCTGGCTCAGGTTCACCCCGCCATGGTCCTGGGCCATTTTACTGGGGGAGACGGCACTGTGATGCCTGGGTCCCTCGGAATGGCCTGCATGGCGCAGGAGGTGCCCCTCCATCTGACTCCAAGCCCTGAGCTCTAACTCTGGCCTTTTCTGCTCTCTGAAGGCCTGAAATCCTGCAGTCCTGGCTTTCCTACGCCACCCACCCTGCACCCTGAACACTCAGGGCATCTCCCAGGCCTTGGCCAGCCCTGCCTGAGAAATCCACGCACCCGTGCAGAAGTTATGCACTGAGCACGTGCCATGTGCTGAGCTGGAGGTGCCACAGCTACCATAGGAGGCGGGACCCACCCTCGTGGAGCAGATATTCTAGGGAGCTTGCCTCAGGCTGCCCTGGGCCAGCCTCAAGCCTGCACCCAGGAGACCTGCCTCCCACCAGAGCAATTGCGTGGGGCTGGGCAGCAAGGTCCCCCTCCCCCCTCCCACCCCCAGGGGTGGGTAGTAGGTCCCAGACTTTCAGATTCCACTCCAGGAAAAGACCAGCATGTGTGTATGGTCAATTGCATGACTATATCCTCCTCTATAACATTAAAAAACAACTCTATTAACATCATTTCATAAAAGAAACACTGTTACAATAATACAAACAAAAGTAGACAGAATCTCAGAATAGAGAGTGTTTCTTTACACTGAATGAACTGGATACAGCTTTTATATTTGGGAAAACACACACGCTCACATAAACACACACCACATTGCCTCGTTAGTCCTTATTTGCATGCAGAAACCCTTGCTTTGGGCTACATCAGGAAACCTCCGGCAGTTTCCACACCCCAGAGCCCACCACACGTCCCATAAGAGTGAAGGTCACACCCCAAGTGTACAGCTAGACAGAGGGGACAAGAGCCCCCAAAACTCATTTAATGGGGGAGGAAGAAGGTCTTGGGGATCCAAATCTGTCAGATGATCCACCTGATAGACAAGGCCTTCCTGGTCAGGAGGGGTCAGCAGGGGTCACTAGAGATTCACATCTCATTTCACATCTCTGCCAGAGACCTGGTAACCCAGATAGTTGACCAGGAGAGCCCGTGGGCAAGTCATACAACTGCTGGGCCTCAGTGTTTTGATCTGCTGAATGGGAATCATAATGACCTCACCTGGTTGCAGTGGAGATGAGAATTTTCACCAAGCACCTGGCACTCAGCAGGTACACAGTAAACCATGGCTGTTATTATCAAGTTAATATTTGACCAACTCTTCCCTCGGAACAAGAAGAGGCCTGCCTTTCCCTTTTCAACTGCCCAGCCCTGACCCCTGTCAGCCCTTAGCATGGAGTCTGTTCTGCCTGAAGTGAGTGACCTCTTTGGGAGGTGACAGCCCCTTTGGGGAGGCACCAGCACCCCCAGGTGCCAGCCAGTTCCTACGAGGGTGTCCCATCCACAGCACAAGACCAGCTCCTTTGGGAAATGGTGAGCCCCGTGCATTTAATCTGCACAGCACCCCGCAAGGCACACACCCCGATACCAAGGGACGGAACAGACTCCGAGAGGTCAAGGAGTCTTGCCCACGGGCAGTAATGCTAGGGAGAGATTCAGACTCAGCTTCCTAAAAAGTCTTACAAACATCCACCCCCAAGTCTGGGTCATCTTTGGTGCCTACCTCCTCCTCTTTCAGTGGCCCCTCTGACCCCCTCATTCTACATTCCAAACCCAGAGCCCCTGCCCCGCTTCCAAGCTGCCCGGGCCTGTCCTCCGTCAGTGCCCTGCTGAGCAGTTTTAGCATGGGCATCCTTTCCTTTACACTTTTAGTCCCAAAAAGAAACTCTTCCCAAAGAGTCTTTAGAGAAACACAACATCCAAGGGTGACATCTAACGGAAAGCCTTCCTCCTCCAGGTGCCCTCTTACCTGGAGCCCAGAAGCTTCCAGTCAGCCTCTCCCTGGCCAATCCCTTGCACTGTGTGAGAGCCCGTGTTCACATCCACACCTGAGTCCTCAGCAGTGGTAACTAAGGGATGCTCGGGAAACGCTGAGCCCAGTTCTCAGAACCCACTCCACCTGCCAGCACATGTTTGTTTCTTTACCGTCTCCCCAAGCTAGAATGTCAGCTCCCTGAGGGTGGGGCTTGGTTTTGCTCAGCCCTCTACCCCCTGTCCCTAGAACAGTGCCCAACACATAGTGGGTGCTCAATGTTCCTTCCATGAATTAAAGAACGGATGAGCAACCCCCCTCACTTTACTGATGGCCAAAGTGAAGAAGCCCAGAGAGGGGGAATAACTTACCCAGGGCCACCGAGTTTATCTGTAGGAAAGTTGATATTCACTCCAGAGCTGTCTGATTCCCTCCCCTGCCGCCGGCTGCCCCTCTAAACACACACACACACACACACACACACACACACACACACACACACACAGGCATGCACACACACGCACACCATCATAAGCCCTGATCAGCTAAGGGCTCAGCAGGGATTAGCTGTCTGTAGAGGCCTGTAATGGACACTCACAGGGAGAAGGTTGGGAAGCAGGCCGAGGCAGGGACGGCAGGCTCCAGGGTGGCCTCACTGTACTGCCCTGCCCCACAGAGCTGGCATTTAGTGAGCACTTGCTATGTGCCGGGCACCGTCCAAGGCTTTACTCTCCAACACAAATAAGCACAGAGGAACCATTATTACCACACTTTATAGATGAAGGTCCTGCCGCTTGCCCAAGGTCCTATAGGGAAACCAAGGACTACCTGCCTGCCAAGCCCATGCAGGCTGCCTTTTTGACGTGCTCCTGTAGTCTCTTCTCCTGTAGTAAGAAAGAGGCCTAACACTGAGGGGAGGACCCAAGGATTCTAGAAACTCATGGAAAAAGAACAATGCAAGGCCTGGCCTTAGGTTCCAGCAGGAAGGAGGGACAGAAACATTCTCTTCACATCGTGAAAGTCACACAGCTTGTAAGGGAAAAGCTGAATCCAAACTGCCTGGTCCAGGGAGAGGGACGTGGTCAGCGAGCTGCTGGCCTCCTGTGCTCACTCTCGCCCCATACCTCAGCCCACAAGGACCCTCCCAGAACACCCTCCGTGCCCCACGTAGCCCAGTGAGCACATCCTGGTCTGCAGGCCCCTGGGCAAAACGGCCTTTGCCTCATTCTGAGTCCTGCCATGAGCCAGCAGGGCTCTGCTGAGTGGGGACCCAGCTCACCCCCAGGCCCCAGCCCAGCCGGGACCCCCAGAGCTCAGGGAAGTCTGGAGGCCATGCTTGCAATCTTTCCATGCCCACGTTCCCTAGCCAAATGTCCTGAGCCCCTATAGACATGCTCCCAGAGATGATGCCTGGTTCAGGAGCCTTCTGTCCAGTGGGTGAACCATCTCCATCAATAATTCAGGTTCAGGGACAAGCTGCTCCAAGGGTAGGCGGGTACAAAAGCCTTGTGCAAACTCAGAGGAAAGAGACACAGAGCAGGCAGATAGGGAGAGGCCAAGGAACAGGCGACATGGGGCAGGGTGTGGGCACAGACAAAAGAGAGGGGAGGAAGAGTCCTCAGACACCCAGGGACAGAGAGATGGACACCAAGATGAGGAAACAGAAATGCAGAATGTGGGGGGAGGGGAGCAATGGGTGGCTGGGGCCTGGGGAAGGGGGGAGGTGAGAGGAAGCTGGGAGGCACCCGGGTGGGCCCCACTCCCAGGGCACCTGCTCCTCCCTTGCACTGTGTGAGAGCTCTTC